ACACACACACACACACACACACACACACACACACACACACAGCCGCGGCACCATGCCGCCCACAGACACACAAACACTCATTCACACGCGCGCGCGCACGCACACACACTTTGAGATGCACAGAACAACACGCTGTTGTTGTAATTTGTTGTTTTTAAAATAAAAAATAACGACTGACCTGAGGTGGAAAAGCGTTTAAAGCGGGAGAAAACGACTGTAATGGTACTAAAGATGATAAAGGTGCTCTCAAAATTAAGCCGCTGTCTACGAGCTGCGTTCTCACTGTTCCTTCACCGTCAAGACCACTTATAATAGTACAGCGAACCCTAATAACAAAAGAAATTATTTATGAAATTCGTGACAAGAATGGTGAAACCAACAAGTCGTAAGAAAAGCACGACGCACCAGTCGCCGGCGAGCGTGCGCACGATGTAGAGCGTGGTGGAGTTGGGCGCGGGGGCCTGCGGCGCGGCGGGCAGCGGGCGGCGGTAGGGGCCCGCCGTCAGCAGCGCCAGCGCGCCCTGCACCAGCGCCGCGCCGCCCGCGCGCGACACCCACACGCGGCCCTCCTCCGTCACGCACCCCACCTCCACCTCGCACGGTTTCTGTAAACGCACACCCGCACACCGTCAAGACGCTTCTTCTATTTACAGCGCAAGGCCAGGGCGCAATCGATTGAACTTGGAATCAGAAATAAAACCTGTGTAATCGTGAAAGCGCCAGCGATGCAGAAATCATGTATTATCTCCTTGTTGAGGTTGAGATCGCGTTGCGTGGAAGTGTCGTAGAGCACGACGGCGACGGAAGGATCGGTGGGGTCGTGGCGCGGACCGGGCGCCGCCACCAGCACCTCGCCGGGCAGTCGCCGTCGCACCAACTCGGCACCGAGCGTACTTGCCGCTAATTCTTCCGCACCTTCCAAACGACACAGGATCGCCTGTTTTATCAAGTAAATAGTGTAAAGACATTTTCTTTAAGATTCTTAAAAAATTTAAATGTAGCAACTTCTTTATATTTGAGCAGTTTGGACAGTTACATACTGTAAAGAAATTAAAGAGATATTAGATGATAAACAGTAAGTTTATGAATTTATTTATCCACCCATAGATATAATAATTAATCATTTAGATGTCAGACTATTGTCTACAGGTAGAATCATTTTCGAGTCGTCCAGTATGTATTCATCGAGATACCAATATCGATAATTTTATCTCGGACATAATAATCATGCTTTAAGAGTAGAACAAAAAGTAACATAATTACACACAATACATACTATGTAAAGAAAAAATGTGTTGATTTAACATAATGACGAAATGCAAGAACATTCACACTACTTAAAAAATCAATGCAATCGTCCATCGTATTTCAAGTTATATTAGCTAATTTCAATAAATTTTCTTCTCAGTTTGCTTAAGTTTGGCTGAAAATAATTGGCATAGAGAGTATGGACTGATTGCATTTACTTGACGTGAAAGAGTAACAAATAAATATTTATGTTTATAATTATTCATCCTTCTTATTAATAGGATAAATAATGTGAAAGAGTTTTATTGTTGTACGCTCAAAAATTAACTTATCCTAATATTGACCAGTTGGTAAGTATAATAGTAAGTTATGTATGATGTGAATGTATGGATATTTTTTTGTCATTCCATCATATTGTATGATATTTGGAACAGTGTAACTCCAGGCATGGTAATCGTAATTTTTTTGTTAAAAAGCAAAGCTAGATAAATAATAACATAATGAACGTTCATCGATAAGTCAATTAAAACCAATTACAAAATATCGATACTTATCTACTGTTTCAAAAGATATACTTTTGAACCCTAGTTCAATCCGCCATTACAAATCACAAGTGAAGTTTAGGCATTTTCCATCTATACCTTTACATCAGCCACCCGAACACCCCAAAATTCGAAATTTGGTTTCTTGTTTTTTAAGGTTGACATAGGTGTACTTTAAATACAACTCCCACTTTTGAAGTATGAACATGGCACGGTTATACTTTATTTACACCACGGTGAGATAGAGAAAAGCAGGGGCCTCAGCCGGTCAACTACCCTTACAGTCAGTTACGAGATTGAAGTTACCGCGTTTAGCCCTCTGATGGGTTGATTCATTTAAAGCAGGCAAATAGTAATAATAATTTTATGTGTGATGGTAATTATTACCTGTGCTGGAAGTTTTCTAAACTGTGGTTCTAATATTTTGATTTTGTGAATATACACGACATCGTCGTCTCCATGATCACCTAGAAACACAGTCGCCGAGTCTTCTTCTATTTCTAGAATTTTGGCACGCTGCCAGCCACCATCATCTAAATTAACAGCATACCTGTAAGAGATTAGCTTTTTATAATTTCATTTACAAACATAACATAACTGTAATAATTATTTTACTAAGTGCTATAAACACTTTTCTGAAAAACCACATCAAAATTGCTTAACTAATCGCGAGATAAGGTTTAATTTACCTAAAGAAATTGCCGTTTTGTATTAAAAATTGAAACGATTTTTAATCATGTATTTTTTATTTGCCTTAATCGAGGTAATCATCCATGCAATCAAAGCATCTTTGCCAACGCAATGGCAGTTTATTGATGCCCTTCTTAACGAAACCAGTTGCAACAAATTCTTCAAAGGCGTTTTGTACTGCCTCTCGGGGATTGAAAATTTTTCCCGCCAAGAAGTTATTAAAATTCTGGAAAAAGTAGTAGTCTGTAGACGACGACCAATCCTTGCAACTTGGAGACCGTCTGCTGTGCAGTACGAGTTAGCGCGGTGTCGTGTAGGAGCAGCGGAGACGAGCGATTCACCAATGCTGGTTGGAGATGTGCCAGCTTCATTGTGTTCAGATCTTCACAGTACATATATATCTACAGTAATGCTCACCCCGTTTGGTAAAAAGCTGTGATGAATCACACCGGAGCTAGACCGCCAAACAGTGACCATGACACTTTCTATAGATGAATTTTCGTTTAAGGCATTGTTGAAGTGCTAAACCAGGATCCATGGGCTCGCTGCCATCGCAGTGGTAAGTCCCCTCTTTGAGGAGTGGCTTGAGAGACGCTACGGCGTCCTCACCTACCGAAGACGCAGGTCCTCACCGGACTTGAAAATTTAGCCTAGTGCAGGTCATGATGCGGAGCGAGGGGGACTGGAATGCCGTCTGCTCCTTTTGCGAAGCAGTCATGCTGGCTAAGGAAGAGGCGGGACGCGTGAGGCAGCGAAGCGCTGCCTCCTCGCAACCCAGCCATCGCGAAGGACACACCGGGCGTCGGGGATCGCGGGACGATCTCCGGCCACCGTAAGGGCCTGCGGACGGCGAGCATTAGTAGTTCCCCGTTCGACCAGAAACAGACCCGAGCGTACGCTCGCGTTACGATTGGGACCCAACATCGGGGCTGATGCCGATTCGGACTCGCGGAGAATTCAAAAATGCGATGGTTTTCCCCCCCAAATAAAAGAAAACCAGGATCCAACCAACTTGCTGAGCGCTTGCGGTTATCAAACAGAATCCAGTTTTCATTGCAGGTAACAATGCGGTTCAAAATTCCTTCATTAGTGTGTCTGTTGAGCAGTGCAAGGCACGCCTCTACGCGTACCTACTTCGCGCGGACGATCATTGAGTTCGCGGGGCACCCATTAGTCAAACTTTTTTACCTTGCCAATTTGACGCAAATGAACCAATATTGTTTTGACGTTAACGTCGAAAGCTACTGCTAATTCAGCCGTAGATTGGTTATCATCTTCCACAGCACCGCTTCCACAATCGCCTTTAATTCGTTGATATTGCGTGCCGCTAGTGCTGCGTTGCTGCCACGACGGTCAGTATATTCAATAAATTACTCGAATTTTTAACGTATCCATAATGACGAAAAAGATTGGAATTCGATGAAAATGTAACAATAATCAATTGACTAAATTTGCAAAAAAATTTAGTCAATTGATTATTGAAAAAAAAACTGTACTGGAGAACGGCAATTTCATAGGCAAAGATCTAATGTAGGTACACATATACAGGTCAAACACAAACCTCCTTTTTTCTTTTTGAAGGCGGTAAAAAATTACACAATAAGGTATCTTACCAGGCATTTTTAATTAGCATCGATTTGTCGACAGGTGATCCTCCATGTTCATAATATTTTGCCATGTCTATTAACAACGTTTCGAATGTATCCTGAAAAAGAATGTGTGTATTAATAACAACCTATTGAGTAAAGTTTTGACTCCACAGTGTTGACATGTACGTCATTTGAATTTGATTTGTTAGTGTGACAACAACTAGGACGAAAAAAAATTTAAATTAAAAAAAATGGTTGCCTGTAAAGTCGTTTTTACGGGCGAAGATTTTACGTGACAACGTCTTTTTCTCGGTAGAATATTTATTGATATGAATATAATTAAATTGCACAATAGGAACAAGGAATTGAATGAACTAGTGCTGCGCGCGCGGCAGACCGATCATAGTTGAGTGGGGGAGAGACGCAAGGCATTCGGCGGGCCTCTCTCTCGTTCGGTGACTCATCGTAACGTTACCGAGCGTTACACTTTTTCATAAGTGACTCCCAGCCGCAACCTAATTTAAGACGTTGTCACTTCGATCAACAATAACAACTAGATAAAGGGTTACGTACAAAATCAAGCTCCAGTTCTGTCCGTGTGAATAATAATAGTAAAACGATAACAAACAGAGAAAAATGTTTTAAAATAGTTTTAAGTTCAACCTAATAAAAACCATGGCACCTAATAATAAAGTCATAAATCGTCAAAATATTATCTAATACTTACGACCATTCGTCATATAAGACAAGAAAAGTATTTTCTTACTCCTGTCATGTAGAAATTAAAAGACATAAGTTATACAATATCTAGTTTGAATTCAACCTTAAGGTCGAACAAATAAAGATAATTTTTCCATTATTGTCTTGCGATCTATATCGTTTTGTTTTGTTTCGTTTTGCTTCTTCAAATTTCGAATTTCGCTACAGGAGGTATGTATGGAGTCGCGTTGGACACTAAAATAATTTTATAATATGAAAATTAACATTTCGGGATCTTAGTATATCATATAGTATACATCACTAATTTTTATTAGCGGTACGTTTTTGTGTATGATATGTTTATTTACTTTATCGTTAAAAGTCTAAGTCTAAGTCAAAATTATTTATTTCAGTTATACCAGGAAGGCACTTTTGAACAACAACAATATAAATTTAAAAGTGAAGCTATTTGCTCATTCCAAGGTGTAGATTCCTATGGAGAAGAACGAGCAAGAAACGATACAATTTCTTATTTTTTCAATACAAATCGACTCCATGCATCCACTGTTCTGTTTATACAAATGTTGGCGAGACTTGGCCAAGGAATCGCCAACACACGCACAAACATTGGTGGCGTTGGTTTATAATTGATAATTTTGTCTAATTTGATATTATTTACTAGTTTAAAAGCTTAAAATATAACTTATACTTTATGTACTTATCAAAAGTAAGACACTCCGGCCGTTATACTGCTTTTTCGGTTGTTATTTTTGCAACTTGCAATTACTCGTGAGACGTGAGTACGTTGGCCGTGTTTGGAGCATACTAAACAAAATAAGAGCTCACTTCTCAAGTGAGCTCTTATTTGTCGAGACGATTTTCTTGCGCCGACCCGATATCTAGTTGTTATTGTTGATCGAAGCGTTGTCACGTCAAAATGGAGGTTCTAAGTTTGACCTGTATGTATGCATTTACGTGTGTATGTTTGTGCGCGATTATCTCGTAATATTTATTTAAAATAATTCTTTTATAAACTGCAATCGGATCAGCCAATCGCGAGATAACCGCGAACAAACATACATACATACAGGTCAAACTGAGAATGTCGTTATTTTGAAGTTGGTTAAAACAAGCTTTCATGCTAATCATGCAAACTAATCAATAACATCTGTTATTTAACATCTGTTATACCATATATATATAGTCAATAGTTATACCATAAAACAAAGCTTAATAACATTCACATGTATACAAAATTGCGACACAATCGGTTAAGATATCTGTTTTAAAAATTCAGTCGGAAGACTTCACTTCACCCACATACATACATACATTCAAAAGTATAAGAGTGAAAGCAAGCCCTCATAACAAAACACAACAATATATCAGGTGCCGCCGCTTTTAGTTCTGCCTCAGTCACGACTGAGTGATCTGGCGTTCGATATTTGGGTCATGCTAAACATTAAAAGGATTGTATAATAAGGTATATGGCAACAGATTTACCCTATAATATGCCACTCTGGCAACCCATAACACCTTAAATAAAACCCTAATAAACTTTCGTTTTTCTGAATGTTGGATGTCGCAAGTTACGGACTCCATACATTGAAATATTATAATATTATAAAACTTTTCTGAGTCATACTAAATTAATTATTAGCCTATTAACAGCGCGACAGTCGCGGGTAACGGAATGCTGCTCATGAATATGAGCCCCTAGGATGGCTCGAAACTAGTCGAGTTCCTCGTCAAATCGAAACGAGACCGCGTTGGGCGCTCTGATTGGCTGGTTCCAATGAACCAACCTTCTTGACTTTTAACATAAAACAAACTCGTACTAAGTCCTCTGTTTGACGAGGAACTCGACTAGTTTCAAGCCATGCTAGTAGCAGCTAATTAAAGATTCATAAGACTACCGGCGGCGTACTAATTTATTCATTTGTTTACACGCCGCGAGCAATTCGGTCGGTACATTTCGCAGGTCGCTGCTCCGTGTGGCTTGCTGAGTAAATTTCTATGTGTTACGGTTGCACTGTACGAATTTTCGCTACGGCGACTTTTCCGTGGCTTCGCACAAAACTGCGGTCTCGTTGAGTTTTGAAAATGAAGAACCATTCCGCCACCGAGGCGAGCGCAGGTGAAAATTGCGTCGCAAGTCCTAAGTTAGCCGAACAAAGAGTATAGCATTAATTAAACCAACTAACGTACGAGAGTATTTGTTATTGAAAGACATAAATGAAATTAAATATTAATATTTAATAGCGTTAGCTCATAAACTCACTAACGTTTGAAGTGTTAGTGAGTCGGGCACCGAGGCACACAGGAAAGCGCGTGGTCAGCAGTTTTACGCTGTTACACGATTACACGATTTTTAAGAACGCGCATGACAAGCGTTTATTAAAGACTTCACAAAAGATTACCTACTACTACATAACAAATATTAACAATACCATATTCTATATACTTTTTTGAGGGGGGGGGGAATCATCCAATGACTTTTACCGCCCGGGTGAGGCCAGGGGGAGTGTCAGACTCTTACTGAGTAAAAACCACCCCGTTCCTACTCTTGCACTTCGAGCCGGAGCCCCGGCAACCCGTTTTTTTTTTTTTAAGGGGGGAAAATCATCAAATGACTGCTCCCGCCTGGGTGAGGCGGGAGGGAGTGTCAGACTCTTACTGACAAAAAATCACCCCGTTCCTTCTCCTGCACGTCGAGTCGGAGCCCCGGTTACCCGTTAGGTTCTCCGCGACCCGGCAACCCGTTAAGTCTTCCGCGGCTCCGTATCGGCATCAGCCCTGTTGGGCCCCATCTGTGGTGTTCTGATGGCACCTTGAATTCTATATACTTATAGTACATATGTGCGCGCATTTCAGCACAACATATTAATACATCGAAATGTTTTCCGAATTAGATCTCATTATGGATTCGTTACATCAATTTAGTTAAGGTCTTATAATGTATATTATTTACTAAATCGCTAGATCAATATAGTATCCAGTATAGTTGAGTATCCAGTGAGTTTATTTAATTAATACCAACTATAGTACACACACTTACTCCAACCCTTAAATATCGACCAAGGTATTTTCCAATAACCCCATACTTTATGAAAATAAAATTTAAGAGTGAACTAGATCATTGATTGAATACTTATCAATAAATGATACTTCATTTCTGTTGATTGAACGTCCAGGTTTTGTACTAAAATGGTGCTAAATCATAGTATTTTTTTAAGGTATAACCAGGCGAGCGAGGCATACGAGCAGGCGGATCATCAAAAACCACTCGAAGTGCGTTGCCAGCGTTTTGGGATTAGGAATTTCAAGATTGCGGATTCAGTGATTATGCAAGGGGGCAATTCGGCTTCCGGTAACCTTACTAACACGACGACATACAATGCAAGCGTTGTTTCACGCCGGTTGTCTGTGAGGCCGTGATATCACTCCGGTCGAATTGACCCATTCGTGCATGGCTCTTCCAGTCGTACAGTAACAGTTCTCTCTTGACCAAACAGAACTCCATATTTTCGTATAAAAGTTACAGAACGAAAAGTTTCCTACATATTTTTAATTTTTACTTACGCTGTATTGTGATCCAATTATTCGAAGCCAAATTTCTAGTGTAGAATTTGCGACAGTCACAAATACGTTCCAAAAATCATCGTCAGGAAATTGCAAAGGTGGTAGGTCGCTATCCATGGAATCGTCATAAATAGTTGTTTCTAAGGGTGGTATTGGCACTTCCTGTAAACAAACGGAATAAATATTATGACCACCAGAAAATACTTTGATACCATAAGTTTTTTTACCAAAAATATATCAACTTTGACTTGTTTGAAAATCATTTGTATTAATAGAATAGCTAGATGTGTAGATTTTTATTATAGTTTTAAATTAAAATGGGGTTTGAATTCTGGTGATCATTTACTATTTTTGTCTGTTATATGTTACGAAATCAGGTGATACGTTAAACAGAAGCCTAAACAAATATACATAACATAGGTAAGTAGTATTTTTTATACATCTTTAAGCCTTTGACTGCCAATAGAAAACTGATGAAGGCAAATCCTCCACTAACGTCTGTCACTGGTGACCCTTCACAGCGTTTAATGTGTTAAGAACATTAGGAAAACGAAATTCTGATCTGCCACTTCTTTGCCCAATTGAAAAAATGCTTCTAAATGGGCAATGTTTTTCTGCAGTATGTGTCGTGTATATCATGCTTCAACACGGAACCCGGCAACTTTGCAATCACAACCTGCCAGAGTACCACAGTGTTCAACATTGCCATTATGGTTCATGGTTATGTTATTTTTTCTTTTATTGTTATCAGGTACAGCAAACAGTTAAAATCTTTGAACACACTATACAAAAGATTATATATGATATACTCCTGTGCGGTTTCCGCGCAGATAAGAAAATCGATTGATCCGTTTCCGAGATCGTGGATATATTTGACCTATAAAATTGCCGTTTGGAATGAAAAATGTAGTCGAAGTATTCACCCATGCAATCAATGCATGTTTGCCAACGCAGTGACCGTTTATTGTTGCCCCCTTCTTAATTTTTTTCCAGCCAAAAAGTGATCCAAATTCTGGAAAAAGTAGTCGTCTGTAGGCGCGAGGTCTGGTAATCTCGCAGGTAATAATGCTGTTCAAAATTCCTTCATTTATGTCTCTATTGAGCAGTGCAAGACACGTCTCGACGCGTACTTCGCGTTGGCGATCATTCTAGTTTGTGAGGCACCCATTTGTCAAGCTTTATTTACCTTGCCAATTTGACGGAAATGAACCAATATTGTTTTGACCCTAACGTCGACAGCAGCTGCTAATTCAGCCGTAGATTGTGTATCATCAGCTTCCACAGTCGCCTTTAAGACCTCTGCGGGCAGCAGGGCGGCGGCGGCGGGGGCTGCACAGGAGCGGCAGGATCTTATGTGTAAAATCAAATGGATCGGATTTCGACAACAGCGGCGGGGCAGTGGCACGGGGGCAGCCAACGAGCGGTGCACTCATAGTTCAGTGTGCCTAGCACGAATAACTATCGCATTCGTAACGTAATAGTATCGAGACGTCGAAACGTCATGTGACGAAAACGGAATGTCGCAGCACGAAGCCTATCGTATCGTCTTTCGAGAGCTCGAATCAAATTCGTTAGTGACGTCATGCTGATGTAAAATAGAGAAGCACCCAAGTGAACGAATTGAATGCATAATGATTACGTCTGAAAAGTAAACCATTTTTAAAATATTTTTCTACCTTTGTCTGCACGATTAAGGCTTTGATATTTTGTTAAGATATATTGGTTAAGCAAAAAAAGGTCAAGAATGGAGTTTACGGTTATGTAAAGTGACATAATCGTATTACTACAACCAAAAGAGGTACTAGTTAATTTGTAATTTCATAAAATATTTTACAATTTCCGAACGTCGTGTTTGACAGAGGTCAAATGCCATTATGTCAAGTTAATTGTTTGTTTATACGTTTATTAAGATTTCTATTTTAATTAATATAAAAGAACTCAATTCTAATGCAAAATAAGGGTGGAGTTAATGGAAAGTATCGTAAGTAAAAATTTCAACATAAAATACGCGCGAAAAACAATATAAGGGTATTGCTTTTCGTAGTCGGGTTATTATTGTTTTGATTAGTTTCTCTTCATTGTGTTTGACCTAATATGCATTGTAATGCCTATTCCAGGATTCCAGGAGTTTGTCTAAGCCAGCTTTTCAACCCCACAAACTACTTCTACTCCATTAGAGAATGAATAGACCAGCAAAGAAGACTAAACTTGAACTGACGAAATTGTTCTTGCAACTTGATAATAAACAAGTGATGATGCTGGGAAGTGTGAGAAAAGATAATGAAATATAATGGTGCTGACATGGTGCTCCTATACGTGTCTTCATGTGGAATACAATGAAACAAATTAA